GGATGGGAAGAGGGGTGTGGAAGGGGATGGGAAGAGGGGTGTGGAACTTCAGGGAGAGAAGCGAAGGTATGCGAAGTTGCAATTATAAGAAAACTTTGGGTGAGACATGACTCTCGTTAACCGCGTAGGTGTCGCGCGGAGGTGGAGAGAAACCTCGGTCCACGCGAAACGTGGGGTTTGTGGAGTTAGCGCGCTTGTGCCGCACAGGGCGCGCGTCAGGAACTTCGTATCGGTGAAATGCTTATTTTAACTTTGTTGCTTGCTTGGAGGTGATCACATAGGTTGAGCTTCTGTGGTACTGAGGAAGAGCGTCACTCAGGGGCGGTCATTCATCATGTCGTCAGGGTATACATTATCTAATGCTCTTTCGAGATTCTATATGTGGAAGATCATCGTGGCTGGGCAATGTACGAGCCAGATGCGGTCCTCTACCACTCTAATTCTCCAAAACATACCTGTACCTCGCCTTTCCATCAACCATATCGAGGACAGCCTGGTTCGCCTCCTTCATGCTACGCTTCTGGATCCACGGCTTGACCTTCTTGTCAGCGGCAAGCTGGAGCATCTCTGCGATCTCATCGGGCGAACCGATGGCAGATCCGCCGACCTTGATTCCGGTGCCGATGAGAGTGAAGGCGTTGATGGGCGGGAGGTTGCCGCCATCAGGAGCACTAAGAAAATGTTAGCCATCAGCCATTCAAAATTAAGAAGGAGGACACATACCCAACCTGGATGAACGTGCCCTTGGTCTTCAACAGACTCAAGTATTCGTTCAGAGGCATCTTTTCGCTTGAAACCGTGCAGACAATCAAGTCAAGAGTCTGCTTGTTGTGCTTGGCCCAGTCTTTATCCTCGTCGGTGGAAATGTATTGATCCGCACCAAGCTTAAGCACATCGTCGCGCTTCTCTGCTTTTCTTGAGATACCAACGACCTTGTCAGCTCCGAGAGCCTTGGCGAAAAGGACACCAAAGTGGCCTAGACCGCCGACACCAACGATACCGACAGTCTTGCCAGGGCCGCAGCCATAGTTCTTCAATGGTGAGTAAACAGTGATTCCACCACACAGCATAGGCGCCGCATCAGCGGAGTCAAGACCGTCGGGGATGTTGAAGACGAAGCGGTTGTGCGTGCGGTTGTGTGTTGCGTAGCCACCATATGACTTGCCCTCATCACCAGGGTACACAGAGCCATACGTGCCAACGAGGCCGCGGCTACAGTGGTTCTCCACGCCCTGAGAGCAGTCTGGACAATCTTTTTGCAGGCAAGAGCGAGCCTGAGCGCCGACACCGACGCGGTCACCCTCCTTTACATGTTTGACGTTCTTTCCGACCTTGACCGCCTTGCCGATGATTTCGTGACCAACAACGCAGGCTAGGTAGTTCGTTAGTCATTTGTAATGGAAATTGTGGAAGGGAGCGTACGGTATGGGGTTGGACTCCAGCCAGACTTGAGCGTGTGCAAGTCTGAGCCACAGATACCGCAGCAGTCGATTTTGATGTCGACGTCGTCCTCAGTCCACTTCTTAGGCTCGAAGTCGCCCCACTGCATCTTGCCATCGACGGAGTCTTTGTCCTTTCCGAGCCAGCCCTGGAACTTTGTGTCTGTCGCCATTTTGGGTGTGATTCTGTGGTCTGGTAGTGTCTAGATAGTGTTGTGTGGGATTTGGCGGAAGTAAGAAGCGAGGAAGAAGTGTTCTGCACGGTTTGTCTGGTCGTCACCCCGCCCTCTCACCACAGTTATATACCACAATTTTCGGACCCTGCATAGCTTCCCTATGACGTTCGCACACGTACTCGTCCGTAGAAAATTCCATATCTTGAAGTGTGGGTACACCCGCACATGCCAATTGGCTACGGCAGTACCGGCGCCGTTCCCGTCATAGATAGAGCCCTTGCAGCGGACCCTAGGAGCCGCAAGGTTGCCCCAAGATGAGAAGCTACGAAAAGTTTCGGCCCTATTTACGTCATGAGTCGTAGAATTGCTCGCTGTTGTCGGTTAGCGTGGGCCCAACTTATTGGCTAGAACAAAATCTCGCGAATCGTGTCGGAGACAACGGAGTTAGAAGGCATCCCCCGTGGGGCATGATCGGCGTTTATGTACTCTGCTGATATGTTGTGACAATTGCTCGGAAGATCGATGCTTTTAGGTATGGCTTGAACTGCAGCTGCACCAAGATGTGGGTCAGAAGCATACATCCGTGGAAAGCGGCCGAGGTTCATGTCAAAAGCTGATGCTGTGGGTGAATATGATGCTCGGAATTGGTAGAGTGGTGATTATTTTTGACGTGAAAAGTGCTTCGCAATGGTAAGTGCGAGCTATTTGAAACGTTCGTATTGTCCCTCCTCTTGCAGCCTCTTATTGACGCGTTCTATGACATCCGCATCGTACAGCTCCTCAAGCTTCTTATCGCCCTTGAGCACCTCCTTCTCGTGCCTGCCAGCCTCCTCTTTGGTCATCAAGACCAACTGATTCATCTTGACTGTGCTCGCTTTTTGCCCTGGTGTGCTTTCGTCGACGAAATTTGCTGTCGGTTTTGTCCATCTGCTCAGCTGCAGGCGGGTGGATAGACTGCTGATGATGCTACGTCCATTGTATACCTCTTCTACGAGATAGCCGACGTCGCTCTGTGTGATGGGGATCTTCAATCCTTGTGCATCGTGTATGAAGAGCGTTTTGGCTAGGCGTTCCTCTGACCCCTGGAGAGCGCCCAAGATGCCATCGTACATCTTGTCGCGAGACTTGGAAGGCAGGTAGTCGTGTGGGTAGCCAGATATGGCAAGGATGACATGATTTGCGACTGCAAGACCAAAGATGGCCGGCATAGTTCCAAGCACAGGTAAGATGCGGACTCGGAAGTCTGCGAGCACGCCAAGCTCTCCAACATTGCCTCTAGCGAATTCTTCTTGGGCTAGCGGTTGCAGCTCAGCCTTTCCCGGACCAGGTCTTTCGGTTGAGAAGACGACTGGTATGCCATCGTTGACACCCAGCAGACGCAGCTTCCTTCGTGTCGACTTGGACAGCGGGTCGTCTGTGCTTGCGGAGATATCGCCAATGAATATCCTCGTTGGGTCCGATTTGCATCCTGCACCCATGGAAGAGATGACCTTGATGTTGTTCTTGTAGCAGTAGTTCAGCAAGGCTACCTTACTGTCGATGTTGTCTATGGCATCGATGACAAAGTCTGGTTGCTGTCCATTAAGGTCTGCTAGCTGCGCTGCAGCGGTTTGCTCACCGAAGAGCTCGTTGCGGCACTCGAAGTGGGTCCAAGGAGTGATTTGCTCGAGCCTCTTGCGAAGAGTATGTACTTTGGAGGTTCCGACATCCGCAAGTGTCGCAACAGCATGGCGGTTGAGTGAAGAGAGCGTGACTTGGTCGAAGTCGATCAGTCGAATTTTGGCACATCCTGACCGTGCGAGTGCTGCCGTAGCATGCGAGCCAACGCCACCGCATCCGACCACAATGACAAAGGCATTCCTTAGCTTTGCTAGACCCTCATCGGTGAGAAAGACCCTGTTCCTGGCCAGTTGTTCGAGGATAAGGTCTGTTGATATATCAGTGTCGTGCGAGTACCCGAATAAACAGATTACGCATACCGTCGTCATAGTCGCCCTTCCTTGCTCTTGCAGCCAATGCCGTACTCCGCTCGTCTTCTTTGCTGGGAGCGAAGACACTGGATGCAGCACCGTATTCAGTCAACTTCAGATGTCAGCTATGTCATGTGGTTGTTGTTGCTCGCTTAGCCTACTCTCTGCGCGTGATGCGCATCATCAATATCTGGTATCGATCCTTTCAGCTCCGCGACTCTGTACATGCGCCTGGCTTGCTGAAATCCGAGAATGGTGCTTGCAACTACCGCACCTGACACCACTGCGGTTGTAATGAGCTGTGCATTGCGAGACTCAGTCGCCTTGGAGATCCAAGAGGACATGCCGATATGGATGTGAAGTTAACAGAAAGAAACACACGCTCTACAAATACGAAATCATGTATGGATGAAAAGGATGTCAGGTATCAGAGAGTAAGGGAACTGTCGCTCGACATGCGTAACAATGACTTGGCAGATGTGCGGCTCGAAGACGAGGATGCAGGTGTGAGACTAGCGCAAAAATGTTAGCTCCAGAAATATTGCGGATGACCTTGGACAGAAAGGAATAGCCGCCAGCGAACCAGACAAGCACGCCTCGACGCGTCTGAGACACCCTTCACGCGCCGTTCGAGCCTCGGGTCCCGTGGGACAGTCTGGCAATCCATAAGAGGTTTCGACTCCACCTCTTCATCAAGATCACTCGCTTCCAACCTCCGACACCACCACCATGTCGAAAGTGACATTCGCTATCATCGCAGCAGGCGGTGCGGCAGCCGGCGCAGCTGCAACAGCCGCGCTGCTTTCCACAAAGAAAGAGCCTCCGCGTCCCACAGTCACAACAACCACAACAACCGTGACCGGCCCACCACGGCCAGTATCCTCCGTGCCAGCCATCCCCACCCCGGCCGCCGCCGCTCGCAAAGCCCTCGTCGACCCCAATGGCATCTTCCAATACGGATTCCCCGGCCCCGTAAACGACCTCCGCCCCGCCGCCTCCCTCACCTCCACCTACGACCGACGCACGCGCAACCCAGCGTGGGTTGCCGAACACATCACGCCCGAGTCGCTCGCCCACAGCAACGCCGACCGTAAACACAGCGTCTTCGTCGAGGACATCTCGATCCCCGAGATGTTCCGCGCCAAGCTGAAGGACTACTTCCGCAGCGGCTATGACCGCGGCCACCAGGTGCCCGCGGCCGACGCAAAGTGGAGCCAAGAAGCCATGGACGACACGTTTGCGCTGAGCAACATGTGTCCGCAGGTGGGCGACGGGTTCAATCGCGACTACTGGGCGCACTTTGAGGACTTTTGCAGGAGGCTGACACATACCTATCCGTCGGTTAGAATTGTGACCGGCCCGCTGTATCTACCCAAGCGTGAGCAGGATGGCAAGTGGCGCGTGAGCTACGAGGTTATTGGGAACCCGCCGAATGTGGCGGTGCCGACGCATTTCTACAAGGTCATTTTCGCCGAGGATGGGAAGCTGGGGGGCAAGGTGGCGCTGGGGGCGTTCGTGCTGCCAAATGACCGCATCGCGAACACCAAGCCGTTGACGGACTTTGAGGTGCCGATTGAGGCGGTGGAGAGGGCGAGTGGGCTGGAGTTTGCGACGAAGCTGGCGCCGGAGAGGAGGAAGAGGTTATGTCAGGAAGTTAGCTGCTCGACGGTTGTCAAGGAGTATGCGCAGAGGCAGAAGAGCTTCGGTAAGGGACAGTAAGTGCCCTAGATGATGTGATGCGGTCAGGCTTTTTTTCATTGAATATGGCTGAGGTCCATGAGCATAGCATTGCGATCAATTGATGACGCAGCCCACTAAAGTGAGGCTCGCTTTATGAGTACAGTACTGTACAAACATCTCGTCCCATATATGATGCCGTATCACAGGTGAGGTCCCATGCTTTCTACTCATACATGCAAGCCCGAAGGAAATCGTAAGACGTCGTCATCCAAGCTTTCCGCCATTCCCATTCCCATTCTCATCCCCCCCATTTCTTCCTAGTCTAGATGTTCTGCACCCCATTCTGACTCTCCCGCTGTATCCTCGCCACATACTGCTTCGACACGGTATTCCACGCACCCATGTACTTCTCCATGCAGCTCGTGAAGCACGTCTCCTCGCCCTTGGACAGCGAGGCATTGGGTTTCGGCACGCAGCGCTCGAAGCAGTGCTCGTTCAGCTTCTCGACGAGCAGGCGCGCATTCTGCATCGCAGCTTCTTGCTGGATCTGGCGCATGATTTGCGTTTTGCTGCGAATATTAGCGTCGTGGCGAGCAATTGGGGCTAAGATACGCACGGGTCGTTGGGAAAGGCAGACATGCCGGAAGCGCCTAATGAGTCCATGTTGCTGTGTGTGGGGTTGTGTGCGTGAGTGAATTGCTCTTGGTGTTGCAAAAAGTTGTCGACGTCAACGGGCTCCATGTCCGCACTTGTCCGCATTTCTCGTTAGCGCCTGCTCCGCTGCAAGACCCCTGCACGTAATTGCGGAAAGGCCACGCTCACCACCGCGGCCAAGTTCGCGAACGTCCAACCGCTGAAACCAGTCCAATCCACTTGACTGTGTCTCTCTGTCCTCCCGTTCTTCTGGCTGCACGCTTTCATTGCGCCGCTTCTTTTGTAGAAATTACTCGGAGCAGCAGGCTTCGTTTTCTTTCATTCTTTCTGCGACTGAACCTGGAGTGAGCAGCTTGGGGAGGGAAAGTCATTGAGCTGCCATGGTATTCGCAAAGTCATGGTCGGGCTTGTGCCTGCTGGCAGGGAGTCTGACGGGCGCAATCGCGCGGTCGGGAGGCTTGATTGAGGATCCTAACATCAAGGCTATCTCAGTGAGTGTGCTGCATTGATGCTTTGCGAGGTACTTTGCTAACATGATACAGTTACGGACACACAGCCTCGAGCCCGTAAGTCGCCCACAAATACACGTCTCGAATGCAGCCAGGGTCTAACAAGAACAGCCATACCTCGACTCGGATATGCAATCGCGATGGTGGGACTTTGGCGGAGACACCATCATCCGCACCGACAAGTACGTCCGCCTCGCCTCAGACAAAGCCTCGCGCGACGGCTGGATCTTCTCACGAGTCCCGTTGACCGCGACAAACTGGGAGGTACATGATATCCATCATAATCCCGTCTTCACCAGCTCACGCGACTAGATTGTCTTCGAATTCAAGATCCATGGCCAGGGTAATCTCTATGGCGATGGCTTCGCCATGTGGCTCACCAAGCAGCGCGCGCAACCCGGCAATGTCTTTGGCCACACGGACAAGTTCGAGGGCCTCGGCCTCTTCTTCGACACGTACAAGAACAACCGTCCAGGCACCGTCTTTCCCTACATCATGGCGATGAATGGCGACGGACAGACTGCCTATGATAAGGACAACGACGGCAAGTCCAACGAAGTCGCCGGATGTTCTGTGAGTTTACCAAACCTCTACTTGGACCTAATCAAAAGAGTGGTCACTAATATCCCATGTGAAGGCCCGAGGCATCCGCAACGCCCAAGTCCCCACCATCGCCAAACTCACCTACTTCCAAGACGAATACCTCAAGCTCGAGCTCCAGTACAAATCCGTCGACGAATGGACCACCTGCTTCGACATCCCCAACTTCAAAGTCCCGCCCGTCGCATACCTGGGCTTCTCCGCTGAGACCGGCGAACTGTCAGACAACCACGACATCATCACCGTCAAGTCGCACAACCTATACAGGAAGAACCCCGGTGCGAATTCCGGCGTCAATCCCAACACGGGCAAGAAGACGGCCAGCAGCATGACACGGGAGCGCGAGAGCAGCGGTAGCTGGACGTGGTTCTTGGTCAAGTTTGTGCTGTTTGGACTCGCGCTGACGGGCGCGTATGTCGGGTACACAGTCTACCGCACCAAGCAGAGAGATCGATTCTAGGCGAACGACAACGCGGAACTTGGGGGCTCGCCTGAAGGTTCGAGGGGTTTACGTCGACGACAAAAGAAGAAGGTCAGGTTTGAAGATGACTGCGTGGGTTTGTACAGGGTGCGCTGAATGAAGATTGGGGGGGGTTGGACATATTGCTTGAGCGCATTGCTAGTTCGAGGAGAGCAAGAGGGGGGGAAGGTACCTATAGTGTATACAGCGGAAATTCCTACACGTAAATTCTTGTACTGAATTACTTGAAAAGGTGGGTCATGGGTGAGGGGATGTATCCGCTTTCTTAGAATCTTTGCCTCGTATAGAATGAAGAGGTAGAATTCAGCTGAGCGGACGTGTGTTGCAGATGCAAGAAGGCCGAGTGTTGATATTGCATCCGTTTTAGATGACGCGGGTTGATTAACAATGGGAGTGCGTTGTTTGGTCATGATGTGCGTGATGCGTGTGTCTTTTACTTCCGCTCATTCCCCAAAGAAAGATTGGCAGGATGTGTTTCTACGAAAGAACAAAGTCCAACCTCTCCGAAAGGACTTCTTGCGATGAAAAAACTCATCCTCTCCGTCTGCGATGTGCTCGTTCTTTCGCTACAACAAATGCAGGTGTTGACGAGAGCAGACTTGTTGGCCAGCAGGGGTAAACACCCGAGACTGCAGAGCTTTCAAACTCGTCGTCGCGTTGATTGCGGCTTAGCGTGCGTACATGGGCGAAGCGAAGATACTGCGTTGGGCGAGTTTGTGTGGGAAGTGTGGAAAGCATCGTGTCGGGTCCTCAACCCGCCCCGACCAGGGATGGCATGATGTCGGGTCGAAAAGGTGGGGGCTGCTGGGATGGGACTAGCGTTGAGGGGTGTTGTTGGCTTTCCAGGTTTGGATTATGCCATCATCCGTAATGCAACGTCTTCATTTTTCCAACCGGTGAAGAGCATAGTGGATTATGACTACGAATCCGGTTAGTGAAAATCAGGGTGGTGAAGGCAGTGCTGTACGATTCTGTTTGTAGTGCGGCTGTGTTGTGACTGCCTCATACCTGCACCTCCAGCCTTGACAAATTCAATCTCTTCTCCGGCCTTTCCCTCTCAATATCCTTTCTGAACATGCTTTTTATCTGAATGCCTTTATTTTGAAATCTGCTTCCTCTCTGAGCTTCTTCCATGTTCGACATCAGTCTCAACGACGCTACTCTGCGCAATGCGTGCTGTACCACTGCACGAGCTCTGTTCCCCGCAGACAGCCACCACATGATATTCCTCGCTACTTCGAATCAACAAGGATGATGGTTTCTCCATACCAACCGCTGGATTCAAAAGCCGAACAAATTCGGATGGCAGTATTGGCACCCGGCAAATCCGATGATGTCATCGACATTCTGTTGCGCGTAGAAAGCCTTCCCAAGGATAGTGTCAAGGAGTTACAGTTTGAGGCCATCTCATACGTCTGGGGCAATGAGCAATTTCCGCACACGATCCAGATTAACGGCAACACCATGCCCATTGGCCTAACTCTGGATCACGCACTTCATCAGTCTCGCTGTTTGGACAAGGAACGAGTCTTCTGGGTCGACGCTTTGTGCATCAATCAGGCAGATACCTTTGAGCGAAATTCTCAGGTGCAACTAATGGGCCGCATCTATTCTTCAGCGACTACAGTATTGATATGGCTTGGCTGTGGCGATGAAGATGAGGTGAAGGCGATGCAAATGATCACGAGCCGGGAGCATTGGAACCTCGAAATGCGTCAAATCTTGACTCGTATCTTCCAGGGCCCTTGGTTCCGTCGCGTGTGGGTGGTCCAAGAACTTGTTCTGGCCAGAAACGACCCCTTAGTATACGTTGGGCCGGCTTCGATATCATATTTAACTCTGTGGACACAGATCTATGGTAGTCGGAGACACCACTTCGGCCTTGCCCCCGAATCTTTGGCCGAAGAACCCCAAGACGTCAATTACAAGCGATTCCTGAGGGCAACCCGCCCTTTTAGCAAGCTCAGTTCGATGAGAGACGACAGAACGTGTAGCTTCGCTGCAAACATTCTCAACACTTCCCAATTAAAAGCCACGGATCCTCGCAACAAGGTCTTCGGCATACTTGGATTCTCGTACTTCCCAACGTATCCTTGAGTAGTGACGCCTCATTACAACAAGACTGTTGCGGAATTCCTAATTGACACCAGCATGCTATTGATCAAGCACGATCCTTTGGAGCTATACGGCCGGCTTCCACTCCACCCTTTACGCGATGAACACATGTCAGAACTTTGCAGCCCCCTCGGCCTGCCCACCTGGGCTTTCGATCCAGACATCAACACGCGTTATAGCGATTCTCGACACAGATACAATCAGCCAGAACATTTTTATCAACACCACAGCCGTCAATACCGACCACTCTATAAATTCCAGTCTCTCGCTTGCCTTTCTCCGGACAATGTGCTGCGAACCGTCGGAAAGATCATCGGTACCATCGTCGACACCTCTGGAGAATTGTTACGTAACACAGAAGAGAAATTAGCGCCAACTGACGCGAATTTGGCATTATTCTCCGTCATGGGAAAAATTTACGATACTATGATGAAACCCCAGTGTGTCTCACATGTGCAATTGTGGCGCATATTCGACGAATCGTCACGAGATAAAGCCACTGAGGCAGATTGCCAGGAGACGTTCAGGTCTTCCGAGAACTCTTGGTATCGAGATCGTCCCTTCGATAACATCACATTTGTAACGGATGGAGGTCGTGTGGGTTTAGCAAATCATCCGGATATGCTAGATGGGATTCGTCCCGGCGACGACGTTGTCGGGCTATTTGGCGTAAATCATACATTCATCTTACGGCAAGTCGGACGGAGCGATAAACATCCAATGAAAAATATCGCACATGTTGTTGGGCACATTATGTGTCATCCTAAATTGAGGACCGCAGCATACGGAACTACGGAGGACGACATTTGGGAGGACCTGGAACACTAAAGCCTGCAAAATTATAGGATCATATGAGAAGTTTCATTCGTTCTTTCTTCCTCGACGTACTGGCGATGCATCTATACATAGACGACTCTCACCTCTGGCCCCTCGATTTTTTTCACCTTGCGGCGCTCCCACCAATACATCAGTCCGGCAAATATGCCAGTAACGGCTCCCAGACCGACGAAAGTGCCTGTTCAATCGAGGATTAGCCAAGAACACGGTGTATGCCAAAAACAGCTTACCGGTAGCCCACGATGGTCGATCAATTCTATTATACCCCCATAAATAATAAGAAAGCAAAGCCTGCAGCGCCGTGTTCAACACCATCATATTCACCACAAATGCCAACTTCCAGAGCGCAGTCGGAGGTGCCCTCACACCGTTGGATGCAACCGTATCTTTCTCATGTTCAACAGCAACGGCTTCGGTGTACTCCTCGCTGGGTCGGAACCAGCCCTTGTTCTGCTGCGTTAGCCGATACATGGCATGTTTATCATGGAAGTGGATGGCCCGGACTGTCCAATACCAATCTCGAAAGCGCCACGGTGCGAGACCGAAGCCAGTGACGCAGAATAACGCGTTGAGGATCTGGGTGTCGATCTCAATCCAGATCTTGCGTTGCGAGCTGTTGTCGTCGGCTGTGGGGTGGTTCATTGCCGGTACGGCTTTGGAGATCAGGATGACGAGCATAAGTCCCCATCCCTTGCGAATCAGCATGATTACATATGCGAGTACGGAAGACTTACAACGATGTTCAGGCAGTATATCGTGATCCAAAAACCCCAAAACGTCTTGAAGAACTTCCAAAACGCCTTCAGCCCATTCAAGACTGTTGGTCCCCATCCCTTCTTCGCCCCATCATCCTGAGTTTCTTGAAACGTATGATTCGCATGCTTTGGCATCTCCTGTTGCTCTAGTGCGGGAATTGCTCCTGCTGTGACTAGTTCAATCAATTCGACGTCTGCATTTTGATCAGGCTTTGCTATCCGCATCGAGTGGCCATGCTCGTCGTTTGATCCCCCTATATACGATTCACGCAATTCAGTCAAGGTTGAGGCTTGTGCGATCGCTGTTCCCGTGGCTTGTCGCTTGCCGAGTTGGGGAGTGCCGTTTGCGAGGGTGATGGAGATCGCGCGCGTGCGACCAAGGAGGTCTGACGGGGGTTTCTGTGCCATGCTGCCTTTTCGAATCGATCCTGTGTATTAGTGGAGTAACAAAGATATATAAGAAAAGTGCAATGGACGGATGGTATGCAGCCAGCCACTGACGACCATCCGCATTCGTCCGGTCTAGTATCTACACGGTAGTCAGGGGTCCCCATGACCTACATAGACAACTTCCGTTGTCGTGCAGTATGATCGACTGGAGCAGATTCCTTGTCACAACAAATTGTGGGGTAGGGCACAGGGTGATATCCAACTTCTACGAAGTAGATGAGCAATGAAAGATTAATCGCATCAGCACCTATCGCTGGATCATCTTTTGCGCGTTCTGCACACTTTCACAGGATGCTGCATACGTGTCTCTGCGCCCGACCATTCGCACGGAATCAGGGCCGATTGATACTGTTCCATCGGTCGTTGCAGCTACCTACGGACATAGTCGTCCTGCCCAGACTCAAGAGCGACCGAAGCCACTAGCACACCGTATACCGTATTGCGTTGCGCAGGTGCCCCGTGCTGACTTCAAAAGACGTACGTTATTCGGTTGCAATTCACGCGAACAAGGAACCAATTGTATCATAATCTTAACGTTAATAGTACATGTTTCACGTGCGGAAGCTCTGGAAGTCCGAGAGCCGGGTTCTTGGGGACCATGCGCCAAAAGTTTCCATGGCTAGTGCTGACCTCGGAACGTACTCCACCCATACCGTGCACGGACACCGGGCGCCCAGAGACACCGGGCGCCTACCTATTAATATTATTGCGATCTTAAACTTAAAGCTATATAATGCTATATAATAGCTCTATATATATAAAAACGTAGTATAGCAGTAATTAGATGCTTATAATTAATTTATACTATTTAAATTTACTTAGAAGCTTAATATTATAGCTATATAACGTTATCTAAGTTAGTAGAGAAAATAAAGTAAGTTAAACTTAAGTAGCAGCTATCTTATCTACTACTTATTTCTAACGCTTCTCTTTAGAGAAGACTGCTTATAAAGCTTTGCGCTTACTTCTTTAAGATAATTATATAGCTTTCTTAGCATTATGCTGCTATTTTTAATACTTATATTTAGCTTATTTTTTAGCTTTCTTTTTCTCTCTTACTATCTTAAGTCTCTACTTCTCTATATACCTCTTCTTAAGCTTAACTTAATACTATAGTTAAGTCTTCTTACGCTACTTCTTAGCTTATACTTTCTAGAGTTTCTCTTCTATCTTCTTTTACTTATAGACTACTTCTTAAGCTTAAGCTTTATAGAACTTATAGAAGAACTAGAAGATAGCACTACTATAATACTCTTAGCGCTATTAAAGATTAAGAGCTTTACTCTTACTTTTATACTTCTTCTTATATAAAAGAGTAGTATTATAGCTAAGTAAACTTAAGAGAAAAGATTATTATTATAGCTAAGCAAACTTAAGAGAAAAGATTATATTAATTACTGCTCTTCTAATATACTAGAAGAGCTAGCTTAAATATATAAATAGATTACAGAGAAACGTTAGTCTACTTTCTAAGCTTAGTTAGCTTAGTTACATAGATTAGTATTTTACTATTCTTATATATTAATACTATAATATACTTTCTATCTTAATTACTCTATTTAATTAAGATAACGTTACGCAGTTATTATATAAATAAGTAATTTTTCTACTTCTGCGCTAAGCCTATTGCGTAATTGAGTAAGCTTTTATTTATTATTATATTATTATAGAAATTAGTTAAGTTATGCATTTAGTCTTAGCGCGCGCAATATTAATATCTTTATTCTATGCTTTATAATCTTTTAATACTCTACTACTTAGCTTTAAGAATTTAACTTACTAACTATAGCTCTAGTAAGTCTTACTAATTAAGAAGTACTTAAGTATCTTATGCATACTCTACATTATAATTATCTTAAACTCTAGGCTATTAGTTATACTAACTTAGCTATTTTACAGTAAAAAAGAAAAATAGCTACTTTAGTATAGAAGAAGAATCTTAAGAATACTTATACTGCTTATTCTTCTAAGATATTAGATTTAAAAAGTATATGCGCTTTAGCTTAAATTAATTAGTAGAAGTTAGCTTCTAAGAAGAGTAATCTAGTTCTAGATACTTTATTAAAGCCTTCTAGTAGTATACTCTATAAGAGCCTTTATACTAATTATATTCTTAAGTAGTTAAGTAACTTAACTAAGAATAAGCTTAAATATATTAATAAAGATAGTAAGTTAGGTTATTATACTACTTATAATTCTAAGCAGTATATTCTAAGGTATATTTCTTATCTTATTTTAGTTACTTTCTTATACTAATTATACTATAGCCTTATACTACTTTTATAACTAAGATAATATCTTTATATAATTACGCTATAAGCTATATAGTTACTATAACTATTAGTAGTTATTAATCTTATATAGCAGCTCTATACTAATCTTTTATAGACTTCTAAGTATACTAATAGGCAAAATAAGCTTATAGATAAGGTCTATAAGTATATTACTAGTTATAATAAGCTATCTAGTATTAAGCGCGACTAATCTAAAACTACTATATCTAAGTTAATCTCTAAGCGTAAGAAGAAAGCTGCGCTACTTACGCCTTTATAACTCTATTTAGATTCTTTTAGTTAGAAAATAGGCTCTAATAGAAAAGTTACTCTTAACTAATTTAACCTCTTTAAAGGTATTTGCTTACTAAGCCTCTATTTAAGATAATAAGAAGAAGAAAGAGACTATAGTACCTACTAGTAATCTTTTTAGCCTAAGCTCTAGTTCTTTAGAATCTAAGCGTAGTAAGTAAGCTAAGCCTTTTAGTTATAAGACTAGTATACTTAATAAGCTATTTAATAATAAGAGCGCTTTAACCTTAGCTAGCTTTAATCTTAATACTCTAGTTACTTTTAATAACTAAATAAGTTATATTAATACCTTTCTTAGCATAAATAAGAAATTAATTTATTCTAGTTATGCTATCTCTTCTTAACTAGCTTAAGCTATACTTAGTAGCTCTATTTAGTATTCTACTAATCTAGAGTTAAGTCTCTCTTTAAGTAGCTTATATAAGCTTATTTATTTTACTTCTCTTATACCTAAATAAGGTACCTAGAGAGAAGAGAAGAAATAAGGCTACTCTAACTAACTTTTATAGATTAAATTCTTTTTTTACTTATAAGGCAGTAAGCTTAAGTAGATTAAATAGTAGCCTTTATAGCACTAAGCTAATTATTTTAATCTCTAAGCTTTCTAAGTTATCTACTAAGCAGATTTTAAATACTGCTAATATTTAAAATGCTCTCTCTATAGAAGCGCAGCATAAGCTTCTATCTTAGTTTAAGCAGAAATACTTATTTAATACTCTGCTTATTATTATAGGCAATACTAGATAGAGCACTATTAATCTAACTAGCTCTAATCTAGTAAAGAAGATTAATAATAGTAACTCTAA